CGGTAGAGCAACGATGTTGTTCTGCATCTCCTCCTTTCTCTCGCATGCTCTCGTTTCCATCGCTCGCTAATCACTCTGATGACTCTTACATCATAACCTAGACCGCTGTAAATCACATTAATGGCCAGCAGTGCCACTGATTTGTGAAACGATAAATATTGCTTCAGGAGATATGATTTCTCACAGTCACCCCGGACAATATTGGGAGTGTTCAGGCCACTGTTTTGATTCAGTCCGACCGCAGGGGTCATAATTAGCATTAATCAATGAGACAAACGGACCTGTAATCGCGCATCAGCCTGCTTTATCTGATAGCCGTGTTTTCTGGCATTTTAAAGGAGACAAATTATGAACAATTAAAGCTGGACTTCAAATTCTGTTTCAATGGACCACTTGTGTGTTGCCATCACGACAACCGGAATAGAAGATGTAAAACTCGCTCAGTCATGAGGTCACATAGTTCTCTCTGTGTGGCAATAATTGAATTTCACTGCGGAAGAATGAAAATGAACCTTCGCACTTGATTCAAGGTCACGTCCACACTCCCATCTGCCAATAAAATCAATCGCGTGCAAGAGAACGCAACATATCATCTCTAAAGAACGGTGAGCGGCCACATTTAACTCCGATGCACATGGACATATTCATTAGCTGACAATTTTGGCGTCTAATATTCATCATGATGAAGAGACTCAAATTCACAATCAATTTCCTGTTTCTCATAAGAGCAGGGTAAGATCCAACAGAGCTTAAAATCAATGCTCTTCCCTCTCTCCTCTCTATAATGGCTCGGGACTGGTTTACAATTACTCTCGTGTCGTCCGAGCTCAGAGAGATATTCAGAGGAGAGACTCTCAAACATCTTTGACTTGGCTTTTCAAAGCTCTTGAAGCTGGAAGTACACGTTTGTGGAGGAACAATGGCTCTGGATGGAGTTTCGATCGCGCACAGGTTTTTTCAAGTGAACAAATCATTCAACCCAACCTTCCTTAAAGGGTTAGTTGACCCAAAAATGAAAATTGTGTCAGTATTTACTCGCCCTCATGTTGTTCAACCCCGTAAGACCTTCGTTCATCTTCGCAACACAAATTAAGATATTTAAGATATTAAGATCGCTCCTGCATACTAGTCCATAGGCTTCTTGAGGGAATGACTCGAAAAGTCATTAAAGACATCGTTAAAATAGTCCAAGTGACTACAGGGGCTCAATCTTAACTTTATCAAACGACGAGAACACTTTTTGATAACGACTTTATTTCAACTATTCACTTCCTTCTCCATGGGCCTGTAGTCAGTTAGCGTAGTGTGATTGCGTAAAGCTACGTCACACGAAGGCTCACTATTGGCCGACGCTGGTCATGTGTGTGTGATGCGTGTGACGTACAATAACAGAAGCTTACGCTATTAAACTAGTAACCTGACTCGCGCAGAGGGAGAAATAAACCAATAGTTGGAATAAAGTCGTTATTTTTGTCGTTTTTTTGTGTTCTCGTCGTTTGATAAAGTTAAGATTGAGCCGCTGTAGTCACTTGGACTATTTTAACGATGTCTTTAATGACTTTTCGAGTCATTCCCTCAAGAAGCCTATGGACTAGTATGCAGGAGCGATCTTAATAAATATCTTAATTTGTGTTGCGAAGATGAACGAAGGTCTTACGGGGTTTGAACAACATGAGGGCGAGTAAATACTGACAGAATTTTCATTTTTGGGTGAACTAACCCTTTAATAAAGTGCGTGCTTACTTCGGTGACTTTATCCTGACTTCAAAAGCAATTTCGGCAGATGTGCACATACTTCACTGGTTGAACCCACACGAATATGAGAATCTAAGCATGGCGCTCGTGAACAAACTGTCTTTCGTTCAGCCTAAAACAAGTTCCTCCAACACTATATTGGTCAGTGTTTCGGGTTCATTGTCCAACCCCTGTAAGCAACACTGAAAGTGCTTTCATCAAATGTTTCACCAGTACCAGGACGTTTTGGAGGGTTTTTAACAGAATAAAATAGATTTTTCCATGTCTCTTCCATGACGTTTACAGCTCAGGTGATCGTGTGCTCATACAGCAAAGATGGCAGCGTCCAGATCAATCTTACATTAAACCGAATGTCAACGCAAACTCATTGATGCAACATCTGAAATAAAATCAAAATCCACAATACAACTACATATCCGAGAACTTCACATCTGTATTGCATTGTTGATTTGACACAAGATTTAAATACAGCTGTTCATCAAGAAAAGTCTATGGAGGTGAGGACAATTTGTCCATATTTATTTCTTTTTCTGTTTGTCTGTGTCTCTCCATCGCTCTCTCTCTCTTTCAGATCAACAGGATTGCATGAATAATACATGAACTGTCAATCATTTCAGCACATTATACCCCTCCTGTCATCTTCTGTGCTTCTGTGACACATCCATATTTACACACATTTTTTTTCACCGTTTGGTCCATTCCCTCACTTATCGTCTGCAATCTGTCCACTCAATTTTATAACACACACACAAACCTATCCAGCATGAGGGCCCAGTTGGACAAGATAAATGAAAACCAATTCCTGGACTTTTACATCTAGTCACCAATCTTTAATATTTGGACTATACTTCTGAGTGAGTATCGATGAAACACAGACAGACCCAATAATCAATAATGGATCTGATTTTGCGTCTTCATTCCCTAAACTGTATTGATAAACCCCTATAGGAGGATGAACGATGACTGCCAGGCACATACAAGAGGTTTGAAGCTCCAATTAAATCACATCCGTATAAAAACGAGTCATTAAAGGAAGAGTAACAAGCATGAAAGGTAAATATGTCTCCAAGAAACAGTAGGAGAGGGGGTGAGGCTCCAGATTGTGTTCAACATCTTTACAGTCTGTTAGTGATTAGGTATTCGTTTCGTTCTTCAAAACAAGTCATCTCAAATATTAAATATCTTATTATCGCATTGGCTTTTTTAATCAAACACAATTAGTAGGTCATTAACCCACAGTTGTAATCATTCATGGGATAACATTTGCAAAGACACCTCTTTATCAATTAACTCATGAAAATGAGTCAACTAAAGTTTGTTCCACTTTGCTACACGAAATCACCAGCGAAAAACTCCATCAATCACATCCAAATCAATCAACAAACACACTCCCACAACATCTAGGCTTTCGCTTCCATGACTGAAAAATTGATTGAGTACTAGTGGTGGTTTGTTTGGGAAAGAATCAGCATTTTAAATGAATCTTATAAGTGAACGAATCGTTTTTATGTTTATTCTACGGCATGAAATACGTCAGTATTACCCCACTCGTGATTTTTGTTTAGCTGTTATGTTACGTCTTGAAAAAGGCGCTTGCTAAATGAGATTACAGAGACTATTAAACGGCATCACGCCGAACAGGTAAACTCAGTCCGCTACTGCATTTAGGCTTCGAAATGCATGAAAGTCAACACGAGTGTAATATTGACGAAGATATCTACAATACATTATGTTGGTCCTCTTGAGATCAGGGGAGTGAGGTTTAAGTCAAGTCAAGAATATTTATATAGCACTTTTCACAATATAGATTGCACAGTATCAATTAAAACATGATAACAATGTTCGTTTCTTAGTGGAAAAAACATCCACGTTTGGTAGAGCTGATCAATGGTATTAATGACTGGCTAATTACCAAGATTTGCAAACAAGCGCAGTTTATTAAAACCCAGCGAAACTGTCTCGCTCAACAGAATGACTCAATGAAGACTCAAAAAGACGCGTTTGTCCCCACCTACAGGCGTAATGATGTATCACCGAACAAATCTTTCATGGATTCAAAAGATTTGAATCACTGAGAAGAATCAAAGTCCTTGTGTGTAGCGACTACATGTTTTGGGGATGAGTAAAAAAAAACAAAACCTGACTGAATCTTCTCATGGGGATTGTTGACAAATTGACTAAATGATGTCTTAATTAGTATTACACAACAGTAATTATGATAACCTTCAAGCAAACGCAGAACATTTCCTTTCTCAGTAGGCTAAGCTGTGTGATCCTGTTTGGTTATTCAAGGAATCAGTTCACAACGTTCAAGCATCTTTATAAAGAACACTTCGCGAATGTTCATGTGTACCTATAGAAATTCGTGTTTGTGTGCTGTGGCGAAAAAAATCGAACAAAATTCATTTCAGAAGTGGGTTTGTCCTGATATTTGAGGGCTTATCCGTGCCCACGTCTGCTTTCCAAACCCAGTTTGATTCACGCTACGGTTATCATCTTCTCACGGCCATTACCGCATATCTTTGCTTGCTGGCTCTCGGTAGCAGCAGGTGTTGCTGGTGTAACCCGAACGCGCCCACTCTTAATTCCAGTCACCTCCGTGCCGGAGCCCCGAAGCGAATTCATTTACCGTGGGAGGGACACCGGGGGAAATTGTAGTGGACACCCAGCGAATTCACGGGGAATCACGCTTCGGAAACACGTGGGACAGCTGACACAAATAACAGCCCACGATACCCCCGCGGAATCATCATCACCCCCCAAAAAAACACCATATTAACACAAAGATCCGCGCGCGGTGATGCGGATCCCGGGGACGAGGCACCTGCTTTGACCTTGTGTTTTAGTCGTATGTCCTTCCTCAAGTCTCTTCATGTGAGGATCTACCAAGGACGAAGCGCACAACAAGTAGCTCTGATAGATCCTTCGATAAGAAAGCATGCACGCAACAAACAGACCTTCATGGGACCTCAAATCAAAGTTATATATCAAATACAGCATGCAATGCAACAGTAATCGCTGTACACGCAAATGCCCTGAGAGCGCGTGACAATGTCAAACAGTCATTAGTGCGCGCGCGCTTGTGTGTGTGCCCCTGGACAATGATGTAAAACAAGGGGGCAAAGAAGTGATGACCCCCGTGACAGGTGCCGTGCCTACCAGACCTGTCCGCGCCACAGGCACCAGTCCGCAAGGGGAGAAGATACTCCTACAAGTTTAATGGCAACAGAAGCAAAAGCGCTCACCTTTGCTGTACTCCTCCTCCCTGTTCAGATACATGTCTGCAGATTGATGATGGACTCCTGGCTGGAGGGTTTAAGTGCTTATTGTTACTCCACCCGGGGAAACTCTCGCGGTTCCGTGTTTATTGTGTCGTTGCTCGGCGGAGAGTCCTCCTCCTCCTCCCAGAATTACGCGCAAGCAGGTTGTCTGCACACATCTACTTTCTCTCTCTCTCTCTCTCGTTCCTCACACACACTCGCGGTGACGTGCTTTGAGACATTGCCCCGCGGGTGGGGTGGGTGGGCTGGGGTAGCGGATGCTCCATTATTGTGTCTATATACATCCCTATTTAACATATATCAATGCTTTGACTATTGAAAATGTTTTTTCTCGGATGCAGTCTGGATGGTTTGAGCGTGTGCATGATGTCTGTGCAAAGCGATAGGCTGCCTTGACATTTATTCCTTAAAAAACAGCTATAATCTAGGCAATATTTATTTTTTTATTGCACCAGTGCTTATTTTTATAAAGTAATCCAATGGTATTCCATTTGTTAATGGTACCTATTCCAGTTTTAGTAAGTAGGATACTTAGTATTTACACTGTCTTTCTATTTGCTAATGTACTAATGTTTTCAATGGAAACGTATCTGTTCATTAAAATAGACTTGAAGTCTTAGTACATGTTTTAGATAGCTGACTCACCACAGGCTGCATCTGAAATCACATACTTCCCTACTATGGTGAAAACCAGTATGTGACAAAAGAAGTAGGCTATGTCTGAATTCACAGTACTCAAACAATATAGGCCAAACGTGCTCGGATGACCAACTTCTTCTGGTGTTCATATGGACACTTGACTATCCCATGAGGCCACAGGAGAGGATTTATGGATGGCATTGAAGCGACGTAAAGACAAGTGATAATGACAACATGGCGAATGTACTGTACGCATTCATACTACAGCCTAGAATATACTTTTTTTCAGCGGTTGTGAGGTAATTACTTATTCAAAATAAGTATAATTAAGAAAGTATATGCGATTTCAGACGCAGCCACATCCACTGTATGGCAAGTTAAAAAGCTATTGTCCCAGCAGAAGTCGTGATTGTTGGGTAAACTTCTATATCGGGGAACGAGAGAGCATATTTTTGTGTGATTCAATTTCAAAAAGATTTAAAGTTTCAAAACTTTCAAAAATAGGAAAAAAATAGAGATTGATAATGCCGTTTTTAGAAGACAGAATATGCCAACTTTTTTGTGTGTGCAAATGTAATATAATGCAAAGTATAGTGTTATAAATGTACATATTTTTTTATGAAAATATAAAAAAAAACTTCAAGATGACCTTTAAACCCGGACTGGTTAAAACGCGTCATCATTGGTCTGTGAAGAGTCTGTTCCGTTGGCATACTGTGATGTGAATAGACATGTTAGTAATATTTGGAAAACACTAAATTTTAGTAAAGCTGGATTAGTTGTAGTGATGTAGGCTACTAGTACACGTCACTGTTGGATTAATTGCTAATTTAAAAGAAAAGTACATGTAACAATAGGCCTACTCGATATTTTAAATGAATGCGCGTTGACGTGATGGTTGTGTGTCGAGTATTGAACATGCACCTGGTACCGTATAGCCATGAAACACTAACTAAAGCTGTGCTTCATTAACCCGTTGTTGCATAACATCCAATGTGTGCACCGGTGGCGCAGATGATCCTCCGCAGGTGGAGCTGCTCGGCCACCATCCCGATGGAGAAGGAGCCCGTGTCCCAGAGGCTTCCACCCGCCCCGCCTAATCACCCCTGCTCGCACGCACAGACACGGCCTCAGAGGTGCAGAAAAACACAGAGTAAATGCAACCGAACCGATCGTCCTATCCCGTAGTAAACCGCTAAACTGCGCGTTCACTCATTTCGCACGCCATGCACGCCTCACACACACACACCGGAGGAGGAGGAGTTGCGCGGCACAGTGGCGACTTCTAGCGGCGAGATTGCGCCAGTACATGCAGAACTCATAAACAGACAGTGTTGGGTGTAACTAAATACTAAGTAATTAGTTACTGTAATTTAATTACTTTTCCCTTGAAAATCTAAAGTAAGGGATTACTCCTCATTTATCTGTAATTTAATTACAGTTACTTTTGATGTAATTGAGGTAAATACTGTGTATAGATCAATCCGACCTCACAGCGATTGCCGATTCGTATATGCATTTTATGAGGCGTCTAAATATTACGACCGCACTCGTACAAATTCGTATGAATTATTGTAAAATATGTCTGAAAAAAGTGTGAAATGTCATGAGATCAGACATAAAACAATAGTGGGTTTAACATCAAAATGTATTGTCTGATGTTAAAAAGTATGTTTTTATAATGTAACCTTCTCCACCTTGGTCAGTTTAAGGATAATTCATGCAATTTTATAGTATTTGTTTGAAGGAATTAAAACAGATTCATATCCTCGTATTATTCAGCTGGTTGAGATTGATATGGGGTTTTGAAAGTAATTCATGTAGAGAGATTAAAAGTAATTAGATAGCCTACTTTTAAGAGAGAGTAATTAGTATAGTAATCTAATTACACTGTTGAAGAGGTAATTAGTAACTAGTAATTAATTACTTTTTAGAGTAACTTACCCAACACTGTAAACAGATTAGTTTACCACAAAAATACAAATTGCCAGCATTTTCTCACCCTCAAACATTCGTGTTCTTTCGTCACTGGAGTTAAAGAAGATTCATACAGTGAAAGTGAATGGGGGTAGATTATATCGAAACAAATTTAACCTATACTTTTAAACTTTGAGAAAGATGTATCTTCTGCTCACAAAGGCTGCATTTACTTGATCAAAAATCATTAAAAACAGTGAAATATTATTTCGATTTAAAATACTGTTTTATATTTGAATACATTTTAAACTGTATTTATTCCTGTGATCATGAATTTTCAGCATCATACTCCAGCCCGATCTCATGAAAGTTCGAATCTATGGCACGAATGTCATTTCTCGTGGCATTTATACGCCAAAAGCAGTTTTTGCGTGTAGCCTATTTGGCACGCGATTTTCGCGTACATGTTATACGCACTTTTTTGCGTATAATACACACGAACTCCCCACCCCCTCCCCCCTAAACCTAACCCAGGGTTTTTTAGTGCGTACCATATACACGAAAAAAACACTTTTGGCGTATAAATGCCACGAGAAATGACACTCGTGGTATAGATACGCATCTTTATACTCCAGTCTTCAGAAATCACTCTAAAAAAGCCCATACATTTACCCGCCCATGAGAAATCAGGACAGAAGTGTTTGAGAGTGGACAAAAGAGACGGATTTAAACACCAGGTGTAAACGGGAATGTGTTTCGCTCGTCTACTTGTGATCCGATCGACCAAAACACATCTTAATAGGCTACGAGCTGTAAACAGGGCCTTGGATTTGTTGGGATTAATGTAATATTGACACCCCGCAGAGATCTAGGTAATGCTCTTTTAGTAAATGTCCTGTCCTTCTAAACAATTGTGACTTTTGAAATGGAGATGGCCTTGATCTCTCTCTCAGTGTTTGGAGTGTGAGGAGGATCATTTAGAGAAACAGCAGGAGACCTCCCGAACATCATCGCTGGCCGTAGAAATGAATTTCCAGTCAATTCCAGACCTTCCTCTCACAGGAGCAAAACTTCCTGCTGCGAATCATTCATCTTTAATGCAGGTTATTTAATTTTCTTCAACGTGATGATTTTGAGAACTGCCCCCCTACCGGCCCGGTTAATATCGACAGCAGTTTGGTGTTTGTTGAGACGGGTAATGTGCCGGAGAGACGGAGCACAGGTCAGTGATTGAGAACAGCTCGCCGCTAAAGTGGGGAAGACGGATTAAACCGCTTTTGTTTGGCTCACCACCACGTGTGATCTATGGGCTTCGATTTAGAAACATTAACAGAAATTTAACTGCACGGGATGAGGAATAGATCCAGCACGTTCCCCTCGGGACCCTCAGTGAACAGAACAGATAATAATACAGCTCTTATATAACCTGTAATAAACCTGCCGAAGGAAGAGGTGATGCTCGATGAAGTGTGTCCGACGGCATGTGCTGCTCTTACGGCCACCGTGTGTCACTTCAGCGTGTGTGTGTGTGTGACCTGCTGAAAAACTCATGCTTTTATTCTTATTTTACAAAAAAGTACACGTTGCATATCCTCTTCGTGTTTTGTAAGCCTGAGGAAGGTTGATTGACCGAAATGTTGCTAAAACAATTTTGTAATGATGAATGTTTGAGTATTGTGTGGAATATATGCATTTTTTTAAACATTTAGAAATGCATTTTGAATCATTCGATTTTTACTGTTTTTGTTTTAAACAAAAATGGCTGCCATGAGGCAATTTACTGTCTGTTTTTATGCAGTTGAGTCTCCTGAAAGTCTTATAATGTGTCTGTCTTGTATAAATAGGCTCTACGTTTAATACATTGTTGGTAAAGGTAGCCTACAAAACGTGTGTGTTTGTGTATTAGGTTTTCTAGTGATCTATTCTGTCAGTCCTTCGCGGTTGCATCTGCTTCAGGTCTCTCTCTCTATAAATATCCCTGTCTTCTCCTCTCAGAAAACCTGATTCCCATTGATTTAGTGACCTATATACACATTACCAGTGTCTCTCTGTCTCTCTCTTCCACATCCTCCATTCGCTTCAATGGTCATCCTTCTGTCTCTGTAGAGCTTATTTCTCTTCTGCCTTCACTTATGCAAACTGCTCTTTCTCTCTGTGTGTATGGATGAGTTGGAGATTATATAGCCTATGTTTATGTTGAATATTAGCTCAGAGTCTCTCACGTTCTTGATGTGTTCACTGGATGTAACTGTATATTGTTTTATTTATTCTGTAAATAAAGGTGAAGTAAACGATTTCTCAGAAACGCTGTTGAAAGTGGATCGAACCGAGGAGGCTAACAAAAAAATACTTGTAGCCAATCAGCAGTAAGGGGTGTAGTACTCATTAGGCGGTGGAGCACACATAGCTTACGAGTTTAGTACGTACAACATTAGTCAAATAAAATAAAAGTACAACTTAATTTTGTAAGCTTTCCCTTTAAGTGTTCGTACTGTACGAGTTGTGTATTTCATACTTCAGGCTCCCTCTGGTATCAAAGTCGCCCACCCTAAAGCATTCATCTAAACTTAGCAGTGATGTTCTCTTTGTGTTTACCCAGACTAGTGCACTTATAGTAGGCTAAATGTGCAGTGACTGCTTGTCTGAGGCGCACAGTGAGTGACCCGAGCGAACAGTGAATGAGATCTGTAGTAAACAATGGCGCGGTCGATAAGAAACCTGACCCTCAAACTACATTGAGTTTCACTATGGACAGCCGACACATATAGATTGTCTTTTGTGTTTGTGTGTCTGTGTGTGTGTGTCGTGCCAGATTAAATTGCCCGTCTGGTTTCCCCTGGAAAACTAAAAACTGAAAAGAAAATCGAATAAATCGCATTAAAGCTGTATTAAGCTTTTCCCAGTCACTAGTGGACGAGTAGAGAAGAACTCTGGGGAGTTTTTGTGAAAAAAATGAATGCGTGTTTTGGACTAGTGACCCTCAGTCCTCAGTGTTTTATAATGGGTGAATGGATCATATTAAAAGTTGCGGTGCTCGTGTCTTACAGAATTACGTAACTCAAATTTTCAGAACTGTGGCGTTTCCACAGAAAGAAAATGATTTAGATCAGCTGCACCACAGCGACACCCAGCGGCCATGATGAGTACTGCACAAACTAGACGACCTTGACAAAACACGATCCTTAAAGTGCTTAAACACTGGGAAATGAAACAACAACAAAATATACTATATTGTTGTAAAATATAAAAAACATATATATATACCAATATTTTATTTTATATTTTATATAAAATAAAAATATATTTATTTTTTATATTTTTGGTATATAAATATACCACAAATATATAAAAAAAATATAGATATACCAATTGGTAAAAGACATACACCTTTAATATTTATAGTTTGACTCTTTTGGTATAAAGGTAACACATATATGATTGGAATCTAATTGTAAACATTTATTATCAGTTAATTTTTTCACAGTTCAAGTGTAAAATGTTTTATTGGTTAGACAATTAAGTTTTTTTTAACTGCAAAGTGCTAATAACTTTTCAGCTTTTATAACTCTATAATAATGATTGCATCGTTCAGACAGAACCATTAAAGGCACAAAATACGGTAATGAACAAATTCATTTTATTGAACAACAATCCGTGACAAGGAATTGAACATGATCAGCGTGTTTCTGCAACAACGACCAAAACAACAGGCATCTTTCAGTCTCACACATGACATGTGACTGTGTATCACTCACAACACTCGACCTCAACACACAGATTGACGCTCTTCCAGAAGGGCCACATTGTGCATTTTGTGTATGTAGTTAAAGTGCGTTATTGCACTTTTCCTCGCAGAGGAGGAAAGCAAAGGCGTTGTGGAGGAACGAGGATCATCTATCACTACAGGTCAACAGCAGCAGGACTGAACCACACGGAGAACACGGGTGAAACTCATGAACAAAGTGTTTCGGCCATATTTCACCCCCAAAAAATGCATAAATACAGTTAAAATTATAATAAACCTATTTTTAGAATATTTGAAACTGTTTTTGTACATTATTTTCATTAAAATAAAAGACTGTATTACAGTAACTGTTGTGAAATGTCACAATGCAAGAAATGCTAAAGGTTCCTAAAAAAGCTTTATTTTCTTTCTGACATTATTTTCATGAAAGTTACTTCTGTTTTAAAAAATATGAATTATTATTATTTTACATAAAGAAAATTAAGACTTTTTAGGAACCTTTATTATTTATTACCTTTATTTATTATTATTATTATTTTTATAAATAATTAACTCTTTTTGAGACATTAATTAAATCAAAGTTACTGTAATACAGCATTTTTTTTTTGCTTAAGTTTTATTATAATATTGTAAAAATACCCCCACATTTAAAATGTTTACTTATCATTATTATTTATTTATTTATTTTTAAATGACATTAAAAATGTAAAGGTTCCTTAATATATCATATATTCATTTTTTTTTTTTTTAAAGAGATGAAATATGACCAAGACATGTTTCTATGAGAGTCAGCCATTGTTGTGTATTTTGATTATTTCTTAATTATTGCATAAATATGTGCTGGTCCTTCTCTATATACTCTTCATTATATGAAGAGCGAAATTACAAATATCTAACATCTAATTTACTACTAAATAAGATTGAATACTATCAATTTACATCGATTATACGATTCAAGATACATTCTCTGGTTTGTCGAAACAAACAGGCGATACGTTGTTAGTAATATATTGAATATTGTAGGATATCTGCGGGCCGTGTGAGTATTGCGCTTGTGCCAGATCTGTTTTTGTGCTTGGATTGTAAAATCATCAGTGCTATTTTTGGTGTTTTTTTGCCACCTGCTGTCTAATTCCTTCAAGAACAACGAAAGGAAGAAGGACAGATGGTGCAAACGAGGGGGAGAGAGTGAATAACACACAAAACGAGGAGTGACCCCTCACACAACACACCACAGTTCACAAACACAACCAGTTCAAGTTCACAGCTGATGAAACATGACGGAAATCAGAGGTAAAAAACAAAAAGACTAAATCATCATCACAGATAAAAATCAAAGCCAAACAACAGAAAATAATCATCACAATAATGAAAATAATCACAGCTCTTCAGATGTGGAATGTTTAGGAAAAAAAGCTCACGAGGTCATTAAGGTCATCAAATCAGGCAAAAACTTCCTTCATTTGCATTCATTTCAACAATTTACGACATGAGAGGTAACCGGTCAAAAGTGTGTGTTGACAGTGTTAAGTCTGACCTATGACCTTTAAACAATAAATAAGGGCATCTGAACAGTTGTAAATGTCATAAAGCTCATTGTCACCGAGACTAGAGATGTTTCCCTGTTAGACAGCACCATGAAACCCTCTGGACCTCCAGCCAATGACTATTTAGCGTCATATTCATTCTAGAGGGTTTGAACGTTAGTCTGGGGTCGGGAAGATTTGTCTCTTCTGCTCAGCAACGCTGCATTTATTTGATCAAAAATACAGTAAGAAACAGTGATATATTATTACAATTTAAAATAATTGTTTTCTTTTTGAATATATTATAAAATGTAATTTATTCCTGTGATCAAAGCTGAGTTTTCAGAGTCTTTAGTGTCACATGATCAGTATGTTCATGCGCCGCATTACAAGTAACTTGCATTATGTAATCAGATTACTTTTTTTGTAGTGAGTAAAGTAATGAATTACTATATAAATGTACACATTAAAAAAGTAACTTTTAAGTTGATTTAAATTGCTTAAACATTCTTGAAGAGAGTTTTTTTTAAAGTAACAAAACGCATTACTTTCAACTTTCAATAAAAACACGTGTACACTTCTACTATAACCCGTAATGTTAAGAGATCTTTTGCAGGATAGTCAGGATATATTCCTTTGTTTTTGCATATAAATGCATATGCAATAAGGTCAGTCACAAAAATAACTTAATTTATCACTGCGTTTTTTTAGTAAATTGTTTTTTTTAAACAACCAAAAGAGGGTTAGTATTAAGGAGTAGTTCACTTTAAAAAAAACAACTTTAGCTGATAGTTTACTCACCCCCGTGTCATCCAAGATGTCCATGTCTTTCTTTCCTCAGTCGAAAAGAAATGAAGATTTTTGATGAAAACATTCCAGGATTTTCTCCATATAATGGACTTCAATGGGAACCAAACGGTTCAAGGCCCAAATGAGAGTTTGTAGAAAGTGAACTACTCCTTTAAGCTGTTAGTAAATCTGCTCCTATGTGTGTTTTTAAAAGAAAATGAAGCTTTATGGTAATAAAGCAAGTAAGCTGTGTTATTAAATGCATTACTGCAATAAACATATGCAACAACAACAAACTACTCTAACCCGAGAATCAGCCAGAGAGTAATGCAGTGGATTACTTTCCATAAAAAGTAACGTAATTAGTTACTTCTTAGGGTGTAAAACGATATTGTAATGCAAACATTCCCCTTTTTTTGGTGAAACTGTCAGGATTCTTTGGTGAATAGAAAGTTGCAACATTATAAATGTCTTTAGTGTCACTTCTGATCTATTTAATGCATCCATTGCTGAATAAAAGTATTAATTTCTTTCAAAATAAGAAATCTTCCTGACCCCGAACGTTTGAACGCTAGTGCACATTCAGTAGCAGGACGAGTGTAGGAAATCAGTGTACTGGGAAGGGGGACTGCAGAGGTACTATCGGCAGGGATTTGTTCAGGAAAGTTTGGCAGTGTGAAACGGAGAACAGGCCGAGCTTTATCTGGCTCTAGCCGACGGCGTGGACTGTGAGCGACAGCATTGTGTTTTCCACTCCACAACGGGCTAAAATAAGAAATAAAGCAAACATTAAACGAGAACTACAACCTTTGGGTTTTTGTTTGGTTGATTTGACAGTGCAGCAACACTGATACACCGCAGGTCCGGCTCAAACGCTGTAAACTGGCATATTAACTCTTCCAGATGCCAAACAGAAGGATCGGGGAGGTGTGCAAATAAGCCATCGTATACAAAACAATAATCACACAAACTATCAGACACTGATAAAACTATCCATACAAATATATAGTGAGATATACTATAAGTGTGTTTACATCGATATGATCATAAATATGACTTCAATCCAGAGTCTGGAACGTCACTCCGTGAGCGTGTGCTTATCCGATTCTCCACAAAACTGGAATGACTATTCAAATTCCACGATCCAAGGCAGACAAAAGCATTAATATTCATAATTATTAGCCCCGCCCCCAGCATAGATTCACCAGGCGGGCTTTACAATCAATCTGCACGTTACTTTGGCGTCTTCTCAAATCTGATCCGACAGATATGAACCTAACAAATCTAGGCGTTGTGGATATTTATAACTGGCTAAAGTTGGTTTGCAGTGGGCGGGACACAGCGTTGCTCATGAATATTAATTAGGTGACATGACAAGCATGCTATTTATACACTATTATAGTTTTTATTAATAATTTGACTTAGCTTTTTTAAATTCAGTTTTTATTGCTGTGTTTTTGTCATTTTAACCTTTTCAATGCTATTATTGGGGGTTTTCGTTCAGTGCTTTGCCAAGGCAACATTTCTATTTTCATTTAGTTTAAGTTCTTCATCTAATAATATTCAGCTTGAATCTAATTAACAAAAATGTTTTTAATGTTTTAGTCAGGGCTGTTATTTTAAAATATTTATAAATAGCAGTTAAAATAATTGTTATAAATGTCAAAACATTGTTGTTATTTGAATTCAAATAAACATTAACTGAAATAAAATAAAATGTACAAAAACTTAAACTTATTTTTCAGCTAGTTGCCATGGCAAAATCCCCCAATTTTATGGTCAAAAAAAAAAAAATTAAACCTGAAATATAAATTAATAAAAGCTATATAGACATCTACAAACATATAATTACTAGAACTGGAATTAAAATGACAACGAAAAATAATAATAAAAACTATAATAATATCTAAAATAGCACTGGTTTTGGGTGTGATAACTACTTTGTATGACATTTCATGTGTCCCGTCCCTAAAAAAAGGAATTTGCATACCCAACATGTTCTAATTAAACCTCAAACTACCCACAAAGCATGAGTTTTTAATGCTATTTCACTACTAATATATGGAAACAGATTTGCGTGGGCTAATTCTTCTTGTGTCTATAATAATCATCTCCCAAAGTGTGGGAACTTTCAGGAAGTTTTAATAGTCGCTTCGCCGCTGGTTACGGGCATCTCCATTTTGATTGGGCTAATTTGAGAGATACGTCTCTCACAGCTTTTTAAAGAAAAACGAATCGAATTAACCTCCGTAATTTCGTAATATGTGCTGAATAAAGCCTTGATATGCAGAAAGATATGCCGAGAATACGCATCGCACACAAACACTTCCACACGTCTCCTCGAGGGCAAACTAATCAACATTACATGCCCTCATGTCCCAGGAAATGAACAATTAAAAAGAGCTGATATCATTAACAAGAGCTCTACGATTCAAAGTGTCACGATTGATCGCTGATTTTACGCTTTAAATGTCTGGAGATTTAAAACGCTCATATGGTCTCGGCGTGACAAAAACAGGCAGCTTGGCAAACACAACCTCAGTATTAAAAGCACCACATTCAGATAAAAACACACAAACGGCACGACGACAAACTATTCAAATCAGTCAGACTGGTTGGCGTTACGCTTTGATCCTTGTGAGAAAGGGCATTATGGGTTAGTTGTTCTGTTTGGGCAGACAGCTCAAGATGTATTCGCCCACGCCGAGGAAGTAGATGACCTGAGCGATGCCGAAGAGCGGCGCGATGACCAGAGCTCGACAGTACGCACCCTTCAGGAAAGCGCTCGGCCCCTCGTTGCGTAATATCTTCCTGTGGTGGTCACATGGGACAAAGGGAATCATTTTACCCATAATTGCACCCAATATGCTGTAATGAATGATGTGGTCAGCTGATGCCGTCACCTGATGCAGTCCGTCACCCCGCTGTAAGTGTCCTCTTGACTTCCTCGGTTTAGCGACTGTAGTCTCGTCTTTATCACTGAAACACAGTCATCGAAACACACAAATTCCATATATATTTTAATATACAGTATGACAATGATAATATTCAATATTTTAAATATTGAAAAAACTGTATAATATTGAATATTCAGGTAAATAATATTAAAAAATATTTAATATTCAGTTTTTAAAAACAACTATTGAAGAAATATTCAATTTGAAAAATTAAGTATTTAAAAAATAGACATTTTTTTCATTATTTTATATAATGGTAATACAAATAGACAAAATGGATATAAAAGAAACACAGTCATCGAAACACACAAATTTGATATAATTTTAATATACAGTATTAAGCACTGATGACAATGATAATATCCAATATTTAAAATATTGAAAAAAAATTATAATATTGAATATTCAGGTAAATAATCCTCAATAATTTTTTTAGCCAAAAAATATTTAATATTCAGTTTTTGAAAACAAATATTGAAGAAATATTCCATTTGAAAAATTAAGTATTTAAAAAATAGAATTTTTTTTCATTATTTTATATAATGGTTAAAAAAAAATAGATAAAATTGATATCAAAGTATTTAATATTCAGTATTTAAACAAATTAAAATAAATATTGAAAGAATATAAAAAATAGACAAAACAAATTTCGAAAACAATACAATATTTAATATACATACATTAATTATTACAGTAAATGATACAGAAAATATACAGTATTTCAAAAAACAGAAACAAAAAAATATTGAAATATTCGATATGTAATATGCAATAATGATAAGAGAACTAATACACAAATATTTAATAATCAGAATAAATAAATAAACAAATATTTAAAAATATATAATATTAATATTCAGTGTTAAAAATATAGAAAATATTGAGTGTTTAATATTCTGTAATTAAAAAAAAGATAAAACTAATTTTATTAGTATTATTTTGAACTATTTTATTGATATTTTCAGTACTGAATTAAAAGAATTTGTCATTTCTTCCACAGAGCATTCTGGGATTCCCTTTCCTGCACAATTAGGCTGAAACGAGTTAAGAAAGAGAGAAGCGTACCGTCCACAGGGTTGACGGCGACCGCAGCCGTGCTCCCCGCAGCGCAGCCCGACACGAACGACACGTAGAACGGAGCCGGACCCTCGCCTCCTCTCTTACCCAGGTTATTCAGATTGGCGAACAGAGGGAAATAGATGATGGAAAACGGGACGTCCCTGAAGGAGAGGGAAATGTTCACGCTGCATTCTGCCAGTGTGTGTGTGATCTGTGTGTGTGTGTGTGTGTGTGTTTCCCCACCTGAGCAGTGTGGCTCCCAGGCCCTTGTAGAGACCCGCGATGCCCTTCTCCTTCAGCAGTTCTCTGGTCAGTTGCATAGCAGTGGGGGACTTGAGCTCCACGGGGCCCCCGGGGGCCGCAGCCTGAGGCATCAGCTTCCTCTGCGCCGCTACACACACACACACACACACACCTAGTTCAACTACACAAACATATTAATAAAATATACACTATTTAAAAAATATTAAGTACGGCTGACATATTCAGTATTTAAAAAAAGAAGAAAAAAACAACAACAACACATTTTATAGTTAGTATTGAAAAAAATATAAAAAACAGATATTTTAAAAAAAATCTATATAATATTTAATGCACTGAATAAAAAATATATATAATTATATACTATTGCGGACAATGCCACATTTAGCGGTACTAAAAACCTCTGCTCTGTAAGAAATTAAATTATTCATTCAGCAGATGCTTTTATAAAAGCAAAATACAAATAAAAACCACATGTATTGCCTACTGTTGATAAAATTACAAAATGATGTCCAATCTTTTTTTTTTTAAATGATGTCCAATCTTTTTTTTTTTAAATGATGTCCAATCTTTTTTTTTTTTAAATGATGTCCGATCTTTTTTTTTTTTTTTTTAAATGATGTCCGATCTTTTTTTTAAAAAAAATAAATGTCCAATCTTTTTTTTTTAATGATGTCCAATCTTTTTTTTTTTTTTTTTAAATGATGTCCAATCTTTGTTTTTGTTTTTAAATGATGTCCAATCTTTTTTTTTTTTAAATGATGTCAAATCTTTTTTTTTTTAAATGATGTCCAATCTTTGTTTTTGTTTTTAAATGATGTCCAATCTTTTTTTTTTTTTAAATGATGTCAAATCTTTTTTTTTTTAAAATGATGTCCAATCTTTGTTTTTGTTTTTTTTTAATGATGTCAATTCTTTTTTTTTTTTGTAATGATGTCCAATCTTTTTTTTTTTTTTAATGATGTGAAATCTGACACTAGTAGGCCTAGTGAACAGGGAGAAGTGCTACAATGCGGCCACAAGATGGCAGTGTGTCCTCTCTCCTCTCTGTCCTCCTGTCTTCATCTCTCCTCCTCTTTATAGAGTCGATTCTTACCGATTCTTCCAGCATCTTGCAGCTGAATCTTTAGCATCTCCATCGGTGTCGTAACGATGACCTGCAACACAACAGAACAAGTTTAGAGGGAACCTCACAGCCAATGAAAATGAGAACAAGACTTTTCAAGGGCCGCACACACATTCAAATCAAGACACCTAAAGACAGTTGCAATGCTTTTAAAAAAGACACTCTTTTGGTAATTTTACACCAGCTGACCATAATTAAGCCTATCGCAGCCTCTGGAAGCCTCTCAGAAATGAACAACCACATACAAAAACATACAATTAGCATCTATCCTCCTACATGCTGAGGTTCACATGGGTTCGTATAATGGTATATATGTAAGCCATTTAACTTCCGAAATGGGACTTCTTTTTATATTTTCTGAGGAAATGTTTTGTCTGGAAGTTGCGAGAGTGAGCGAGATCAGCACAGCAGACGTCCACGGGGACGGGTTTATGTGTGCTAGCGTGGCTGTCACTGGAGACACAGTTACACACTTCATCAAATCTGCAGGGCTTTGCAGGAGGACGGACTGTGTCTGTTTGCAATGTTCATCCACAAACCTGACTCGGCACTAGCTGATGGGATTATTTGTGTCGAGTAAACCCATCATTTAATCCGACATGGCTATAAACCCGTTCATTGACGACAGGAAGACCTCTGTCACATGACTGATCACTATGTTCTGTATAACTCAGTCCAGACAGATGTCAATAGTGGTAATGTTAAGTGCATGTAAATGCTCCTCCAACCACTTCATGTTCTCCATCCATCTGAAATTAAATTTCATTTATATATAAACTGATTGGTATTGATTTTATTATCAATTATCAATATATATCTGCACAACTTCAGAGCATTACATGATGTTACCTCAATTTAATGCTACATTAAAGTAATTAAATATAAAAATATGTTCTGTATTCATTACTTATTCATCCGAGCTGAGGTTTTTAATTTGTGTATTTTTTTAAATAATATATATTTATAATATATATTATTTATAATATATATAATATATATTATTTTTAAAAATAATATATATAATATAATATGTATCTTAATATAATGTATTTAATATATAAATATATATATATATATATATATATAAAACATAAATTCATAAAAACAAATTCATATATATATATATATATAAATATGATAAAAAAACATTCTAAAATTATAGAGAGAAAGGGAGAGAGAAATATTAAAAAATTAAATAAAAATATTAGATGAATATATATATATATATAAAACATAAATTCATAAAAGCAAATTCATATATATATGATAAAAAACATTCTAAATTATAGAGAGAGAGGGAGAGAGAAATATGAAAAAATTAAATAAAAATATTAGATGAATAATTTAAAATCAAAAATATAAAAACTTAAAAATAAAATAAATTAATTAAAGTTGAAGTACTAAAATTAATACTACTGAAATAAAAATAAATTAAAGCTAAATAGAAATATTTATATAAAAAGGAAATTAAAATTGATTAAACTAAATTTAAAATAAAGAATAAAACAAAAATAAATGTGCTGTGTATGTGTAAATATATGTGTGTGTGTATATATATATATTTATATACACACACAAACTTTTATGTTAGACGTGAGTAATCACCATTAAATGATTTGACAGCACTAAAAAATACTATAAATAATACTAAAATATTAAAGTAAAATAGTACTATAAATATTATGCACCTTTTGTCTTTTGGTTTCCATACAGTTTTTTATGCATTTTTATGCTTTTGGTATAAAGGGGTGTTTCAGTGGAAGAACACACACATTAGCCAAGCGTTCAGTGTAATAAGCAGAGCTGGTTGTGAATGAGCACTGCTTCAGGATCATGTGACAGGGCAGGTGAGCTCGCGTGTGTGTGTGTGTGTGTGTGTGTGTGTGTGTGTGTGTGTGTGTGTGTGTGTGTGTGTGTGTGTGTGTGTGTGTGTGTGTGTGTGTGTGTGTGTGTGTGTGTGTGTGTGTGTAATGACAATGCTTCTATAAAGGGAGTGTGTTTGTACCCCTAATGCATCTGTGTTTTGTCTCAGTGATCTGAATAAAATAACAGTGGAACATCTATTAATGGAGGCTGAAGCATCAGATTACTGAGATGAGTGTGTGTGTGTGTGTGTGTGTGTGTGTGAGTGTTGACACTGACCTGACATGTTCCCGCCCCGCAGCCGGCCAGCATCTCTCGCAGGAGAGTGAGTTTCTGCCTGTGGGAACGACACACACACACACACACACAGAGGGTCGTTAATAATTCACACTTTGACTCGACGGCGGTGGTCAATAATTCACTGGTGCCGTTTTCAGTCACCATGGAGACGCAGCCGAACAGGGCATTGTGGGTATTGTGTGTGTGTTTAATATTAATTCGGCTGAGTGCTGGATTGATTGAGATGTCTGACAGTGTCGGTATGTGACTATTAGGATGTACATCGTGAATACCAGATTGACAGCGTCGGTGAGCTGTGTGTGTGTGTGTGTGTGTGTGTGAACGTGTTCAAGGTCGGGAAGGAAACCACTATGATGCGTCAGAGTGTGTGAACCGGCTGATGATGTCATGTGGGATGATGAGTGTGTGAACGGCACAGGCAGCTCAAAATGCTAGTCATGGTATTTATATTGATTTGCTGTGTGTGTGTGTGTGTGTGTGTGTGTATGTGTGTTTATATCTCACCCGTCCTTAGAGAGGTGAAATCTGAAGAAATCATTGGCTGCAAGCTTGATGGCTTTTTCTGGAGTGACGAGAGTTAAGTTCACCGCAGCTCCTGCGAGAGAAACACACGTGTTCAGTCACACACCTCACGCTCACGACACGCCTGCAGTTCACATCTACATTGAACATGTGTGTGTGTTTGTGTGTGTCTATACATTAGGGCTGGGTATTGACACATATTTCACAATTCCATTCGATTACGATTCGATTCAATATTGATTATTTTGGATATCAGTTACAATAAATGGCAAATTTTCTCAAGGGAATCAAATCTCTGAACTAATGCTGTAAACTATGGGAGTCTAGTTGGGCTTCATTAGCCTAATATGAAGGTAATAATGAACTGTTTTGTAGCTATACAAACACTTAAATTACACTTATTTATTTTTATAATAAGAAGATTATATGGAATATAAACATTTAAATGGTGGCTGTCATAAAAACTTGCCAGATTTATTCAAATATGCATTAAGAACATTAAGATTATAATGCATATGTAATATGGTGTATATATTTAGCAAAATGCAAAAAATTTTCTAGCTGATTAACGAGTTTATGTGGGTTTTCTGAGGTAAATATGACGATACATTGATTACAAGCTGTTTAACTGACGTCTTTCGACGGTTGAAACGCTGATTGAGCGAATCAATGTGACATGATCCGGATTTGGATAAGTTGTCCTCTATCTTTAACACACTTTCAGATGCTCGTTCATGTTTATTTGGCGCTGTGACTGGTATTATTAAGCCGGAAGAGAGATCAGCGCTGCTGCTTCTCCAGAGCGATCTCACGCCACAGCGACAAAACGCTATTTATGTTTTTGAATTTCTAAAGAAAATGGACGTAATTTAAAAATTGAGACTTTGTTTCATATCAATAGTAACAAAGGACAAAGATTATTGCGATTTTTTTTGATGCGCGCAGCCGCGATACAATGATCCATTCATTCAAATGAAACAGGATGACTAATCGATTCTTGAGATTTTTGAGATTTTACTTTTGGCAATATATATATAAATTAGGGCTGTGAATCTTTGGGTAGACAGCGAATCGATTCGATTCACGATTCATAGGTTTTCGATTCGATTCATGAACGATTTGTGCAAATTCAGAACGATTCGATTCGATGCGATTCACATCCAAATTTGATGCGATTCGATTAATTCGATTCGATTCTTAATTTTTTATATGCATTATAGTATTATTTTAATGCTTCACCCAATGGGTCTTTGTCTGGGTTTGAATTAGCCTACACAGCGGCCTTCGGGGGTCAGATAGTTGTCACAGTCTTCGTCTTCACTTGTTTGTCTCGTCATCTGCACCACGCTTCCCCGGATCCTTTTGTTTCCTCTCCTGATCTCACTCCCTCATCAGCCACCTGTTCCTCGTCTGTTCGTCATCATTTTCACCTGTTTGCACTCCATTTAGTTTGATTCCTTTGTCTATTTAGTTCGATCTTATTCAGTCTGTCTTGGTCAGTCGATGTTGATGTTACCCTTCCGTGGTGTTTATGTTACCCGATGTGTGCTCCTGTTTACCTGCCTTCCTGCCTGTATGTTTAAAATAAACCCGTGTTTGATGTCAATTTGGATTCCTCCCGCTCCTTCGTCCTGCACTCCTGCACCCCTGCACCACACCCCGTGACAGATCGACTGACCAAAAAAGCAACATGGACGCCGGGATTTTCCAGGGGATTCTCCACCCGATTCGGCGCCCCCGTTTAAGGCTCGTCCCCCGAAAGCCGGCGCTCACCGTCAGCCCTGCCGAGCCCGCGCTCACCGTCAGCCCTGACGAGCCCGCGCTCACCGTCAGCCCTTCTGAGCCTGAACGCTCTTCACTGCTGGTTCCGTCCAGCTCTCCAGAGATTGAATGCTCTTCACTGCTGGTTCCGTCCAGTTCTTCAGAGACTGAACGCTCTTCACTGCTGGTTCCGTCCAGCTCTCCAGAGACTAAATGCTCTTCACCGCTGGTCCCGTCCAGCTCTCCAGAGATTGAATGCTCTACACCGCTGGTTCCGTCCAGTTCTCCAGAGACTAAATGCTCTTCCCCGCTGGTTCCGTCCAGCTCTCCTGAGATTGAATGCTCTACACCGCTGGTTCCGTCCAGTTCTTCAGAGACTGAACGCTCTTCACTGCTGGTTCCGTCCAGCTCTCCAGAGACTAAATGCTCTTCACCGCTGGTCCCGTCCAGCTCTCCAGAGATTGAATGCTCTACACCGCTGGTTCCGTCCAGTTCTTCAGAGACTGAATGCCCTTCACTGCTGGTCCCGTCCAGCTCTCCAGAGATTGAATGCTCTACACCGCTGGTTCCGTCCAGTTCTTCAGAGACTGAATGCCCTTCACTGCTGGTTCCGTCCAGCTCTCCAGAGACTAAAGGCCCTTCACCGCTGGTTCCGTCCAGCTCTCCAGAGACTAAATGTTCTTCACCGCTGGTTCCGTCCAGCTCTCCAGAGTTTGAATGCTCTTCCCCGCTGGTTCCGTCCAGCTCTCCAGAGATTGTATGCTCTTTACCGCTGGTTCCGTCCAGCTCTCCAGAGACTTTATGCTCGTCACTGCTGGTTCCGTCCAGCTCTCCAGAGACTGTATGCTCCTCACTGCTGGTTCCGTCCAGCCATCCAGAGACTGAACGCTCGTCACTGCTGGTTCCGTCCAGCCCACCAGAGACTGTAAGCTCTTCACTGCTGGTTCCGTCCAGCCCACCAGAGACTGTCAGCTCTTCACTGCTGGTTCCGTCCAGCCCACCAGAGACTGTCAGCTCTTCACTGCTGGTTCCGTCCAGCCCACCAGAGACTGTAAGCTCTTCACTGCTGGTTCCGTCCAGCCCACCAGAGACTGTATGCTCTTCACTGCTGGTTCCGTCCAGCCCTCCAGAGACTGTATGCTCTTCACTGCTGGTTCCGTCCAGCTCTCCAGAGACTATATGCTCTTCACTGCTGGTTCCGTCCAGCCCTCCAGAGTCTGTGTGCTCTTCACTGCTGGTTCCGTCCAGCCCTCCAGAGACCGTCCAGACCGTCCAGCCAGAGACCGTCCAGACCGTCCAGCCAGAGACCGTCCAGACCGGCCAGCCAGAGACCGTCCAGCCCGTCCAGCCAGAGACCGTCCAGCCCGTCCAGCCAGAGACCGGCCAGACCGTCCAGCCAGAGACCGGCCAGACCGTCCGGCCAGAGACCGTCCAGACCGTCCGGCCCGAGACCGTCCAGACCCTCCAGCCCGAGACCGTCCAGACCGTCCAGCCCGAGACCATCCACTCCCCATCTGCCCTTCACCCGGGCCTCAACCCAAATATTTTTTGGGGGGGCCCAGTGTCCCAGCCACGGCCGCCTGAAGGGCTCTCACCGCCGTGGCCGCCCGAAGGGCTCTCACCGCCGTGGCCTCCCGAAGGGCTCTCACCGCCACGGCTGCCTGAAGGGCTCTCACCGCCGTGGCCTCCCGAAGGGCTCTCACCGCCGTGGCCTCCCGAAGGGCTCTCACCGCCGTGGCCGCCCGAAGGGCTCTCACCGCCGTGGCCGCCCGAAGGGCTCTCGCCGCCACGGCCTCCTGAAGGGCTCTCTCCGCCGTGGCCACCCGAAGGGTCCTCGCATCCTGCTCCGCCCTGGCCACGCCCTCATCCTGCTCCGCCCTGGCCACGCCCTCATCCTGCTCCGCCCTGGCCACGCCCTCATCCTGCTCCATCCTGGCCACGCCCTCATCCTGCTCCGCCCTGGCCACGCCCTCATCCTGCTCCGCCCTGGGGGCTGCCTGCGCCTGACCACGTCCTCCACAGCCTCCAGGGCGCCCACCCCCCCTCCCCGCTGATGTTACGGCGTGAGGTCACGCCTACCGGGAGGGGGGAGTGATGTCACAGTCTTCGTCTTCACCTGTTTGTCTCGTCATCTGCACCACGCTTCCCCGGATCCTTTTGTTTCCTCTCCTGATCTCACTCCCTCATCAGCCACCTGTTCCTCGTCTGTTCGTCATCATTTTCACCTGTTTGCACTCCATTTAGTTTGATTCCTTTGTCTATTTAGTTCGATCTTATTCAGTCTGTCTTGGTCAGTCGATGTTGATGTTACCCTTCCGTGGTGTTTATGTTACCCGATGTGTGCTCCTGTTTACCTGCCTTCCTGCCTGTATGTTTAAAATAAACCCGTGTTTGATGTCAATTTGGATTCCTCCCGCTCCTTCGTCCTGCACTCCTGCACCCCTGCACCACACCCCGTGACAATAGTGGGGATTTTGTCCATTGTTAATGTTAGTTCATGTTTGTTTTTAATTTTAATGAATATATTATTATAAAAAAAAAATTCAATGGCCTACAAATTAGCATTTGCAAGTAGCAAATATTTTGAAAAAGGCTTTTAAACTATTTCATTAAATGACTACATGCACAAATTAATGGAGACGTTTTCATTAGTTTCATTTTGCGTCCTCTCAGTGCACTCGTTATCATCTTTTCACTGGATTTTGCTCGCGCTCGGTCCCATAGCTCTCATGCTTTCATAACGTTAACTACAGATTTTTGAGCAGTCCATGTTTGAGCTCTCCAGCTGAGCTCTGTCGAGAAAGCAATAGTTTTGAGGCAAACCGCTCAAGCCATTGTTAAAGCTGCCATGCCATTGCGTGGGCACTATGAAATAAAACGCTTTTATTCATTTATTACATGGACTCTCCGTACACGCAAGGTGGTCTCTCGGACTCTCGCTCGCTTTCCCTTTCTGCCGAGTGCGTGCAGCCGTGTGTGAACGCGCGATACGCGGTTTGGAGCGCAACCTCTGTCTCGTATGCACGCTCGCTCTAGATTCCGGGAGATTTTATCTAATTTGCGGTAATACAAGCTGATCACGACATGAGTAGCTCAACAGGTAGAAAGATAAACTCATCTTTCAGGCATTTGACCGACCGGGCTTCAGCGTGAGAAATCAGGGGTGTGTGAGCGCCTGAAACCAATCAAATGCGGATGTCGTATGACGGCCAATGCGTGAGGCAGCTTGTACCAGGAACACTTTAAGGTTGTGTTTATATATTTTAAACCACTGAATCGCTATAAAATCGTGATTAATTCGATTATTAGCCTTTTAAATCGATTATTCACGTAAATAAGCGATTCACGATTCAAAATACATGTTTCAGGATCGATGCATATGCATCGCCAGGATTTATAATCGATGCATCGAGAAAACGAGTGAATCGTTACACCCCTAATATAAATACATTTTATATTAACAAAGTTTAATGTGACATGCGATTAATGGATTTGACAGCACTAGTTGAAACACTGACCTCTGTACATGCCGAAGTATCCCTCCGAGCGGATGGTCTTAATAAGGCAGTCTGACCTGCAGATCACAGTATATCACTCACATGTGAACCCTCAAGAACTGACTCTTCTGTATGATTCGATTCGTCCGTTTGAACACTCACATGCTGGAATAGAGACGGCATCCATTCTGCTGGTTCTGAAGGCGAGTCTTGGCCAGATCGATGGGAAACACGCAGGTAACGCCGATCAGTCCCGCCACACCGCCGTTTATCAGCTTAGCAGGCAAACTGGAGCAAAGAGGACAGCAGATGAAGACACTCATCACACACAAGCGCAACAAAAACACTCGTTTAAAGTGGTTGCCAGGGAATTCCTATGCAGTTGTTAAGGTGTTGCGGGTGGTTGCCAAGGCATTCCTATGCAGTTGCTAAGGTGTTGCGGGTGGTTGCCAAGGCATTCCTATGCAGTTGTTAAGGTGTTGCGGGTGGTTGCCAAGGCATTCCTATGCAGTTGCTAAGGTGTTGCGGGTGGTTGCTAGGGAATTCCTATGCAGTTGCTAAGGTGTTGCGGGTGGTTGCCAGGGCATTCCTATGCAGTTGTTAAGGTGTTGCGGGTGGTTGCCAAGGCATTCCTATGCAGTTGCTAAGGTGTTGCGGGTGGTTGCTAGGGAATTCCTATGCAGTTGCTAAGGTGTTGCGGGTGGTTGCCAGGGCATTCCTATGCAGTTGCTAAGGTGTTGCGGGTGGTTGCCAAGGCATTCCTATGCAGTTGCTAAGGTGTTGCGGGTGGTTGCCAGGGCATTCCTATGCAGTTGCTAAGGTGTTGCAGGTGGTTGCCAGGGCATTCCTATGCAGTTGCTAAGGTGTTGCGGGTGGTTGCCAGGGCATTCCTATGCAGTTGCTAAGGTGTTGCGGGTGGTTGCCAGGGCATTCTTATCCAGTTGCAAAGGTGTTGCGGGTGGTTGCCAGGCCCAGGGCATTCCTATGCAGTTGCTAAGGTGTTGCGGGTGGTTGCCAGGGCATTCCTATGCAGTTTCTAAGGTGTTGCGGGTGGTTGCCAGGGCATTCCTATCCAGTTGCTAAGGTGCTGCGGGTGGTTGCCAGGGCATTCCTATGCAGTTGCTAAGGTGTTGCGGGTGGTTGCCAGGGCATTCCTATGCAGTTGCTAAGGTGTTGCCAGGGCATTCCTATGCAGTTGCTAAGGTGTTGCGGGTGGTTGCCAGGGGATTCCTATGCAGTTGCTAAGGTTTTACAGGTGATTGCCAGGGCATTCCTATGCTGTTGCTAAGGTTTACTGGGTGGTTGCCAGGGAATTCCTATGCTGTTGCTAAGAATGGTTCTATGCACATTATGATGTTATGTGGTTGCTAGGGTGCTAACTCTAACCCCAGTGATGCTTGACTTTTTGAAACTCACCTGATCTGTTTGTCAGCCATTTATCTGGGTCCCTGTATTTCTTCAGTGTGTGTGTGTGTGTGTGTGTGTGTGTGTTAAGGCGTCAGTCTTTGCAGATTTCTCAGAAGCGTTTGAGATCTCAGTCCATTCGCCGTCCTGTGGCAGATATCTGAAAGACACGGGAACAGAGAATGATTGAGTCATGGTTATGATCCAGGTGTCTCTCTCTCTCTCTTTGACTCCAGGACCTCTTCACACTGGACTCGCTCCTTTCCTTCTCCATCTCAGTCTTATTTTTATTCTTATTACCTTTTATCAGTTGCACAGGAAGTTTAAAATCTGATTCGTGACACACACACCGAGCTCCCGACCTAAGATTTCAATTCAATTTCAATTCAATCAATGTATATATACAGAACAAGCTCAGTTGTAGTGCTCCTAAAGGGAGACGGTGCCGGCTAAAAGATATGAGATACGTCGAGAAACTTTGCGTGCGCTCGCAAAACCTTTTGAGGACATTGCAAGCGAATGCAAAGTTTCTCGGCAGAACGTAAAACCTTAAAAGCATCAGAGCTCTGTAGTTGCACTTATGCCAACTAAGGTTGTTCTAAATGTGGAGCTCGGTGTGTGTGTGTGTGTGTCATGAATCAGATAGTGTTTGAGAGGAACATCTGTGTGTGTTTCCTCCAAACATATGTGGAATTTGAGCAACTTGAAGACAGTCTTTCCCCCTCGTTCCTCCCCTCCGTTCAGCCAATCAGCTGGTCTCTCTCCCTCCCTCTCCTCCTTCTGCTCTCCGCTGATGCGTTTCCTGATTTCTGCTGACTGGACTGGACTCTTCTACCTTCAAATCTGCATTTTCTCTGTCTGGCTTCCTCTTTTTCTTGCACTCGTGAGATTTACCATACACATTATTATATGATAGATCAGCACTAGCGTTTGGAAACCCTCTGTGCCTCTCAGAATCAGCAGGACTGATATTTTCCATCCTCTCAGTATCTTGCTCATGACTCAAGAGAATATCAGGTGTGTTTTGACTGGCACAATGCTCCTGTGAACACTAAATCGCTGATATTTAAGGTCTCAGACACATGAAGGACCAGCAACAATGATAAAAGAATAAATGATATGAAATTGTCCATTAAGACTCCGGCATTAAAGAGTAATATTTGAACAATGAAGGTTTAGCTTTCGGTTTCCATCAATAGAGGAAGAGAAGAAGCTGAGAAAGAGTTTTTTGTGTGAGTAGTGGTTTGGTCTTGTGACAAGTCCGATGCCAAGATATCTGTCGTTCTGTGTGTCTAATAATCAGCAGAAACACATCAAATGTTCACTGATGAGCAACACAACTAGTCAAGTTTTAACATGTTTCCTCTCAAATTAATTGTGTTTTCTTCCTTATTGTGACGTAAATGTGAGTGAAACGGCTTCTCAAACAAGAACAAATGTAGGGCGGAGCTTGATATTGTTCGAGGGGAATTGATTGGATGGTAAAGACATGGGGATTTATTCGCAACCTGATTGGTCAGCTTTTATTATGTAATTTCTTGACCGAACATCCAATGCTAAACCAATGCTGTGTTCTGGGCTAAATGCGCTCGTTGTATATGTGTTGCTACATATGATGGTATTTTGACCAGCTGAGAACTCGTGAAGAGCCTATAATGTGTGTAAACGAGTCAAAACGCCGTCAGGAATCCCAAAATCAGGAATTTTGGTTCATTTACATGCCTTTGGTTTGGAAGCGGACTGAGACTCCCAGTGTTGTGTTCGTTTGTTATTGGTGGATCTCGTGTGAGTGACAGGTTGCCCCGCCCTCGCACCAGTAAACGCATCATCACAGAAGGAGGAGTTATTGTGATTAAACACTATGTGGTCATGCATTAAATGCAGGGACAGCAGATGTAAACTAGCTATTAGCTAATTCTGGTGCAATTACTTTTAATTGTGCATTGTCCCTGTAAAAATAAACAATAAAATGAAAAATGAATGAAATAATGATGTGCACAGATAAATCATTTATAATGCCAATATTCGTGGTAACGTAACGTTAAATAATGGCATGGTTGTTATCTTTAACTTGCTACAAAAATAACAACTTAAGATATCATAAACATCATAATTTTGCCTGCTATGAAACAATGTGTATTGTGAAAAGTGCTATATAATTCAATTTGACTTGACGTGATTTGCCTAAAAAACAACTTTTGTTTCGTTGTTTTGAAAAATAATGTCAATGAATGACCCTGAGCTGTTACCCAGCATGCACCAGTGTGTGTGTGTCTGCTTTAAAACCACCATAAAACCACTCTGACCAGAACACACTCATCAAATATCCACAAGAACAACTACAGGCTCCTGATGCTGCGTCTTCATCTCTAAACACTATATTTCTACATTTCTACAAGATAGTTGCCATGGAAACGGACTGAAGATGGAATTAACTATTCTTTGAATTAGCGGCAGAGATTTCAAGTCTTTTGATTACGCGTGTGTGTCGGTGTAATTCACTGTAATGGACGTTATGTTAATCAGTCACTTATATCTACTTTAATTCAAAACATTGGGCTCAGTATGATTTTCTAAAAGAAATTAATATTATTATTATTAAGCGGACGCATTCAATTGATCAAGTGATTTGTGAAGGATCATGTGAGACTCTGAAGACTGGAGGAATGATGCTGAACATTCAGAAAATAATTACATTTAAACATATTAAAATGTGAGTGAACAAAAGAGACTTCTTTCATAAACATAAAAAATCTTTTGAACGATACGCTTTGATACCACATCCACCATGGTACTCTTCAAAGTACGGTAAATACGGTATTCTTTAAAGTACGGTAAATACGGTATTCTTTAAAGTACGGTAAATACGGTATTCTTTAAAGTACGGTAAATACGGTATTCTTCAAAGTACGGTAAATACGGTATTCTTCAAAGTACGGTAAATACGGTATTCTTCAAAGTACGGTAAATACGGTATTCTTCAAAGTACGGTAAATACGGTATTCTTTAAAGTACGGTAAATACGGTGTTCTTCAAAGTACGGTAAATACGGTATTCTTCAAAGTACGGTAAATACGGTATTCTTCAAAGTACGGTAAAAAATACGGTATTCTTCAAAGTACGGTAAATTGATGAACAGAAAGAACGGCATCTATTTGAAATAAAAATCCTGGTAACACTTTACTTAAAGCCTTTATATATAATGCATTATAACGGCATTCATAATGTATGTTATAATGCATTATTTGTTTATATAAATAAGTGAAATGTTCATATTTACAGATTCCTTGTTACATCTGAAATAGTTTGTTTGCAGGGGCGGAGCTACATGGTGGCCAGGGGGGGCCACGGCCACCATTGGTCAAGGCTCGGCCCCCCTGCCGGCCCCCCCTCCCAACCTCACGGGAAAATAAATTTAATAATAATAAAAAATAAAAATAAAAACTCCAGTAACGGTCTAAAAAGGAAGCTGAAATGTATGGATTTTTTAATCAAGTCATTGATTTGTCACTTGTTGGGTCTCGCCCCCATCAACAGTGCGAGACATAACGTGCCTGCATTCTGACAGCGCTTGGGCTGTTTATACCTGCCTGGCCACTTCATGCGTTTTCTCAGATCGGTAGCTATCTGATTTATCAAAACGATTCCATTTACACCTGGTCACATAAATGTGTTTTTGCAAAATGGATATAAATCCGATCTTCAATTCCCGCGTTATATAAAGATTTAATGAAGTGCACGTCACCGAAAGCAACAGATATGAGCTGGATTTTATTGATCATCGGCTAATTTCAAAATCAGCAAAGACGGTGATAAGAGAGAGCGGCAACAGAACTGGTAAGATCATTTCGTTTCTTTACTTTTAATGAAGATGGTAGTGTTAAGCGTCTGCGACTTACTTTCACTTTGATTTGCGATAGATTGCGGCGCGTTGGCTTGCGTTCAGCTGCTCATCTGAGGTGATGCGCGTCGCAGTAGCGTCGTCATATCTGACTAAAATAGCATGACATGTAGCCTGTAACACGCTCTCACGCGTTTCTTTTTTTTAGCTTTTTTGGGAGTATTAACATTTACATATGTGGTTTCAAGAACACGATGCATTTACACTTGTCCAGTTTCGTCTGGAATGCGGCCCAGACCACCTCCTGAAGTGGTTTGAGTGATCGGATTCAAATCCGTCTCGAATGCGTTTCGGGGGGGCATTTACACCTGGTCTTTTCACGATCGGATAGCTATCCGATCACAGAAAACGCATGAAGTGGCCAGGTGACGGCCCCTATAATGTAGCATAGGGTTCTTTAATCAACTCCGAAAGACATTTTATGCTAAAAAAGGTTCAAAACTGACAAGAAAGAACCCTTTTGGCTCAAAGGTTTTTTAAAGGCTATTATTCATTCATATATTACATTATTCTGCAACATTTGTAGTTGTTATTAAATTATTGTTTATTAAATTGTTGTAGTAACTTAATATCACATTTTAATCATGCAGATTTTTAGAGGATAAAAAGTGAAATGGCACTCTTCGTCTGATATTGATTAATTACATTTTTTAACCACCATATAGGCCTATTGAATTTTGTGATCATTCACAAGCATTGCATTTTAAGGGTTCCAAATACGTAACGCTTTAGAACCTTGAACCTTTTCTTCTAAGAGTGTAATTGTTACAGCAGACACAAAGCGAACAGAACATTTCAGGGTAACACTTTAGAATACGGTTCCTTCATTAATGAATAACTACACAAGAACTAATGAGTAACACAATATTAACAATCTAGTAACTATAACTAACAAGAAACTCTGATTAACAAACTAGTAAGTAATAGCGCACAGATGAAATTGTTAGTTCACTATTAAGTAATCAATAACTTTTCAATAACTATTTTTTAATACTTCCCAGAGAACTACTGAAAAAGTTTATTAACAATCTAGTAACTACTATTAACTAAAATAAACTCTTATTAACGAATTAGTAAGTAGGCTAATAGCTCACAGATGAAAGTGTTACTAGATACTTCTGTGGGAATTACTAATTATTTGGATCCGTAGGCTATTATAAAGTGAAGATCATTGGAACTAACTAGTAATGACTCAAGTGTTACTACATGATCTAGTTATGATTTGTGCAACCGTTGTAACCTGTTGTATTATCACAAATAAATTGGATGTTGCACTTAAAATGCAATGGTTTACCTAAATAAATTATCGCCTAATATGACAATTCATATTGTGTCTTTCTGTCATTTGCACTAAAAACATCCCTGTCTCATGTTAAGGTCCCTAACCCCTCACATAATGATGACACATTGCACTCGCACATTTATCAATAATCGACATTATTAGTGTCATAAGGGAGTTCAATCCATTGTTTATGGCCTGACGAGCCGCGTGTGAGTTTTAGTAATAGTAGGCTAGTTTTTGACAATCAAGTGCCACCCCAAATAAAAGACTGGCACAAGCTGGCCCCCCCAGAAATAATGTCCTGGCTACGCCCCTGTTTGTTTGTCATGTGTTTTAATAAATGATACTTTCCAACAGGTGTAACCATGTCCAGATAATTATTTTAATGTATAATAACTGTTATTATTCATGAGGTCATTCAATGCATCATAAGGTGATTTTATAATGCATTTGCTTTTATCTCAAATCCTTTTATAATGCATTATATACATTACCGAAATCTTTTATAAATCTTTCCTGTCACTGTTGATCAGGTGAAGTGTGGAGATGATTGTTCTGTAACGCTGCCGTCGCTCGTTCCTGAATCCAGGAGAAATCTGCGCACCTTTGACCAAACCGCACCCTTCACACACACGACTCTGATAACAGATGTTGTTCTGACTCCACGTGTGTGTGTGTGTGTGTGTGTGTGTGTGTGTGTGTGGCGTCTGAAGTTCAAAGGAACCTGCATGTCTTGAAACGGCTCATTCACTCGTTCCTCTGATCTAGGGGGTTCTGCTGGATTGTCTTGAGCAAGTTTTATAAAAATGAACTGTCCAAATTAATTAATCGCTAAAATGCACCAGTTTCATGAGAAAAACATTGGCACACATTAAATCAGATTTAATAAATCTCACTTGTGAATTGCGATTAAGATCGGATAAAGGCGTCTGCTAAAGGATTACATGCAACAACTATTTGTATCTGTATATAAATATAATATATATATATTACAATTTAGTTTTTATATTTTGATATAAAGGGCCCCGGAAGCAAAAAACACAAATATCTCGGCGAAAACTCAACGTATATATCGACGCCAAATTTACATCAAGTGAAGAATGGACCGAGACCTTTCGAAAGAGACCAGCTCAGCCTCGTGGGCCCCCGGGGGCCCGAGATACAGGCCCCCAAAGCCCCGCTGGAAGCGGAAAAAAAACCCCAAATATCTCGGCAAAAACTCAAGGTATCCGGCGGAGACCGGCCTCCTTCGAACCGTCTCGCCAAACTGAACAAAACCATATGTGTGTCGTCATTTTTGGTGGAGTATTCGCGGAGATATTAGTCAAAACCCATCGGCAGCGCTCTGAAATGGCGCCACGAACCCTGGGGAAAATATCAAATATCTCGACGAAAAATCAACGTTTCGACGCCAAATTTATATCGAGTGGAGAACGGACTGAGACCTTTCGAAAGGTCTGCCCGAGATGCCCCTGGATGCCCGCGATACAGGCCCCGCCGGAAGCGTTATGGTTATGGAAGCGTTATAGTTATGTCGACACTATTAAAATATAAAACCAAAATAATATAAACACTTATTATTTTGCAGTGATATGTCATGGGAATATCTTCTTACGGCAGTGACTGTGGGACAATTTACAAGAAACCTGTTATCTGCAAGTGTCCTGCTCCTCGTGACCTTTGCCCTGTGAGCAGTCGGTTTACTTACACTAAAGGTCACTTGAGACCAGATTGTGTTTGATAGACACAGACTGTAAAGGTAAAGATTAGTCGATATGAGAAACCGCCAAAGACAGCAAATACACCAATTATTCCAAGCCAGATTAAACAACACAAATGTACCATGATATCGCTGTGTATTTTTGTAGAGGCCGTTTGCGTTTAGGCCAAGGACGCAAATCTTTCATCACTGGAAAACATAGAGCCAAAATATACAGAAGAAAAACACGAGTGAAGAAATATTTGCAGTGTGTGAACGAGGTCGCTGAGAGTCTCTGGTGACATAATTCTGCTGCAGAGAATCCTGTTCAAATCTCAGACTCCAGAGCGCGCACGTACGGCGCGTCGAGAGCGCGCGCGCCGCAGCGCCCTGATGTTGGTGATGATCCGCTGCAGATCCACACACACACACACACACACACATACAGTCAGTCTTAATGCTTCTGATCAGATATCACACACCCGCGTCCGTGTAGCCGGTTAATCCCGCGGGAATCAAAACCCAACTAACGAACGCGCAGAACACAAACGCGCGCCGCTGTATGATGAAAAACAGATGTTCGCGCGCGCGGAACGCAAACTAGAACACCGTTAGAATTAACGAAGCTGTCAGAGAAGCGCGTTCTCGTTTGACGGTTGGGTTTTCACATTCGCGATGAGGAATTGCGCTTTTCCAAATAACGGGAAACGGTCCGCCGCATCAGCCAGACCGTTATTTCTGTTTCTTCTGCTGACATAATTCATATTTAATACGCTGACCCATCAAATCAGGGATAACTGAACTACGTTTCCTTATGCAGCACGAATATTAATATGATAAAAATGCTGGTGTTATAGAAAAGTGTAACAGCGCTACTGACCGGATCCTTCAGTTGTGTCCCGTTATTCCGGATTATTATGGCTTGATGTGATGTTCCTCCTCCGTTAAAGCTGCCGGTGTTACTAGCGTTCGTGTGTGTCTGGAGGAAAGGGAGGGAGTAGGGACACGACACGAGTCAGCGGGAGGAGGAGGAGGAGAGGACGGGAGAAAGTGACGCCTCCTACCGGTTACGAAGCCTCAGATGTTTCTGTTAAAGCGAAGGCGAAACACGCTTTCTGACGTCATCGCCGTGACGCAACGGTGACCTTGAGTTGAATATACGGGATAGAAGGATCCAGTATTAGAGTGCCTTTTGGATTGAGCAATACACCCCACTTGAAAAAAAAAAAAACAAAAAAACAGTAGCATTAGCATGAACATCACTCATTTAATCATGTAGTTTGGATTGTCCAGATGTCACGAGGATGAGGATGACTGTCAAGAACACTCCTGTCCTGCAAACACTGCACTACAACATACATCACATTTTGATTTTGCATAAAGACTAAGCCTATTTTTATTTTTGCATTAATTTCATGACAAATAAGCCCCTTTTACCTCAAATTGTCATGTACGTAAAGCAAAAAAAAAAAAAAAAATTAATAATAATAATAATTAAAACGCCATTTACACACACACACAGAGAAATGATATCTGTATCTTGCACTCTAAACAATGCTGGGTTGTTTGAACCCAAATTTGGGTCAAATATGGACAAACCCAAATGTTGGGTTAAAAATGTGATTTCAACTTTCACTTTCAACTGTACATTTTTAATTGCATTTTTATTTGGGTTTGTCCATATTTGACCCAAATTTGGGTTGAAATAACCCAGCATTGTTTAGAGTGTATATGATTTCTAAAGGTTATGACAATGTGGTTTTATTATTTGCATTATTATCATCTGTTATTATTATTATTATTTAATTGAACAATATTTGCACATTTAATTTGTGACATGCTGTGTTCAATTTATTTTAATTTTTAAAAAATGGTAAAACTACTACTGTTATTGTATAAATCCACTTTTGACTTACATTTTTTTTCTTTTTTGCATATTCTTTTGTGCAATTATTTCATGTGAAATAGGCAGTTTCTCATTGACTAAATGCAAAAAAATTATTTGTCTGACCATTCAAGATTCAAAATTTGTCTGACCAATCTATATATAAATTTAATTTTGTATACATTTATATATATACACATACACACACATATTGTTATTGCAATAATTTAAAAAATACTGTATTACAGCGACGAGGATCGCGACTGAAAATATTGACAATAGAAATAAGTTAAAATCTGGAAGCGTTACAGTAAAGAGAATTTGGAGATAAAATGGGCTTACACTGAAAATGCAACAATAACAATTATTATTGGCTTAATTTCCTTGAGCAAAATATATTTTCTGCCCGTTTCCTAATAGGATAGTTTAATTTCATTCATTTTTAATTGATTTTGAGATGAAATATGACCCTTTTTGGGAGGATTGTTGAACCTGTAACAGGAATAAGGTCCATTTGAGTGTTTCATCGCGTCTCATTATGAATAAAGCTGGACACTGAGAGCTGATCTGAGACCTGTGAGAACTGTATGTCCATGTGTGTCATTAGTGTCTCCAGTGCTGCTGATTGTCATGCTCTTGGCATCCGCTCTCAGCACGACCGTGTGTGTGTGTGTGTGTGTCAGCTGGACTGAGGGTCTGCAGAGGTCGCTGCTGGGGTCTCCAGCCCGACTCGCTTCAGTGATTCCTCATACTTCCTCTTTCCCAGAGACACTACGTCCTCTACTTCCTCCGCCAGGTCCCGCCGGCCACTGTCCGCCAGTGCTTTCACCAGCCGCTGCACCGCCCCAGGCCCCGCCCCCTGCTGCCCTCTCGCCCAATGAAAGAGCATCGCCAGTACCTGGCCCCCAAAGTTGTCCCTGACAAAACAAACACATGGAGATGCCATTTTATCACTAAATATAAACGCAATTTATTGTGCCATTCTTTGCATGTTCCTGTACACACGGTTTGTCCTGTCGATGTGTGTACATCATGGCAGTGTTTGATATGCAGTTTTTATTGTATATGAACAGTATTGTGATTGTATAAACCTATTTTATTTTGACAATGAAGATTTTTTCACTGTGCATTTTTGCAATAATATCATGACAAATAAGTGCCAAAATTATTGATTTTTGCAAACAAACTAAATATTTTTTATTTACATACAAAATATTTTTATATATTTTTTATTTATAGAATATTGTTTATTTATATATATATATATATATATATATATATATTTGTAAGTGAATGCAATACGCTTCCATATATATATATATACATATATACATGATCCTAAATAAATAAGACATACAATTATTCATATAAATCAAATCATATGCCTTTTGCATTTTGTGCCTCATTTATGCTGACATTTCTTTGCACTTGAATTAACTGCAACACTTCAGAGTTAATTGAATTATTCATAATTTATATAATTTTGTCTGCTATATTGTTGCTTTATATTGGTAACACTTTATTTTACATTGTCCTGGCTACATCTACTTCCATTAAATTAGGCATAACTACAATGCAACTAACCAAACCCTAATCCTAACTCTATAGTAAGTACATGTTATTAATTAAATGTATAATTACAGTGCAATTAAAATAAAGTGTAACCTTGAAATTGAAGTTGATTTGAGAGATACTGGGGTGTAAAGAGGAACAGAAAAGAGGGCTTGAGGAGCGTGCATGCATGCGTGTGAATGTGTGTGTGTCGTCTCCTGCAGTGTCCCAGATGGCTGACCGAACACTCCAACACTCACCATGTTGTCTTAATTTCCTTAATGCATTTCCCAGTGATTTATACCAGCGCAAACATGCCTGTGATGGAGCAAACCAATCTCAAAAAACTAAAAACCTCAACTCATGATATTTGGTGCTGAAAACGCTCCTAAGAGGCTCATGATGCTGGACGATAGCCATTGAGTTAGGAACTGTTCCCGATCTCAGTTCTCTAGTATCCTATCTCAATAAAAGCAAAGAAAGGCCAAAAAAGATTAATCATAAATTAACATTCCTCCTGCCTCGCACAGATCAGCAGAAGAGTGAAGGACCTGCTGTGAAATCTGTCCTGTGATAAAGACAGAACGTGCTGTTGGCCACAGCGCCATCTGCTGGCGGGCTCTTCCACACACACACACACACACACACACCTGTGCTGGAGTCGGATTCGCTCCAGCTGGTCGTAGCCGATGCCCAGGCTGAGGCCGATGCTCTGCCACTCTTGGGTGATGCGTAAGGAGATGGA